GCCAAGTGAAGTTAGATTTTCTCCCATCCTGATGTCTTCCTGTCACGTAGGAAGTATGAATCCAAGGCTTGCTGCTCACTTCATTAGGTACAGGTGTGGGGATTCTTTTTTTTATTGAAAGTACAGATTAGAAATACAGTGACTATTTCAAAATGTACTTCTAAGCACATAACTTCTAGTGAAAAAAGGAAAACATTTCCCTGAAAATATTTTCAGTATGAACGCACCCAAACAAATTCATTCTGAATTAATAAATCATTTCTTTGCCACATCAGAGTTGCAGACATAGAAAGGGACCCTTAAGAAAACACATTTTTCATACCTGTAGCAGAGCTTTCTGGATCAGATCATGTCTGTGTGTCTGTGCATTTAAAATATGAGTTTAATGCAAAAAGCTTTGAAACTATGTTCCTCTAAGTATATAGAGCCATTTCACTGCTTAAAGTGATGAAGTCCTCTCTGAGTGTTGCACTATCAACCAGTTCAAAATCTAAACTTACTTGCCTTACAGCAGACCATATCTATCTCACTTATATGTCAAAAAAGCTATCAGATTTTACATCAGTCCCACTAGCTTCACTGGGGAGACCAGGTGTTCAACACCTGTGCAAAACCAGGTAATTTTACGTGTTGTTTAAAGCTGTAAACCCAAGACTGTGTTAAAACCCATTCAGCAAGTTCAGAGGAGTAAAACCTAGATCCCTGGTCTATAAGACCCTGCTCTACAGCTTTGTAACAAAAATTACCCTCAAGATCCTTGCAATCTGCTTCTTGGCAATGCTTTGTACCTACTGCCAGATGCACCGAGACTTCTTGATGCTGTTTCTATGAACAGGCTAATATAGGGTAAGTCAATAATCATCAAAACTATTGCTCAAATTTAAAAAATGGGATGTTACTGAAATCAATTGCTTTTTATAAGAATGGCTGAGGCTGAATGTGAATTTTTGGAAACTGAAAGACCAGTTTCCAAAATACTTAGACTAGTTTCTAATAATGTCCAAAAGCCATCTCAGTGTATTTATTCTTCTTGGCTCTTGACTTCCAGCAAGCAAATAATGTTCCATTCTTCACTTGCAAAATGCAGCCTTTCATTATTCCCTGTTCATCTTCACTCAAAAAAACCTGAGTTCTCCCATAGAAAATTAAATAGAAATCTTGTCATTTAATCTCTATGGCTCTTGAGCAAACAAGCCTCTCAATGAGTAGTATTTTGAAGGAGTTAATTTTTCTTCAGCCTCCACACCATTCTTTCTGCCTATGCTTTCCACATTTTTTCCTGCAAATGCCGTTAATTGTTTTCTCTTTTTTTTTTTTGAAATGCAGAGGACATACCTGCTTTACTGCAGCTGTCAATAATTGCAAATTCAGAAGCTAAAACCTGTTGGTCTGGTTTTGTTTTTCTCTATGTGCAAACAGTAGCCACTATGGCAGCCAGGCAGCCACAGTGGTAGACCTAGAGACTCTAAAAACAGACTAGAGCAAAATCCAGAGCAAAATTCAGATCAGAGTAAAATCCAGAGCACACTGTGCCCAGGCTGGGTCTGACACCAGCTCCCCACCTAGACTGAGACCTGCAGCTTTCTCACCTCTTTCAAGACCAAAATTTGCCCCCCGGGAAACTAAGGAACGCGGGAACCGCCATGAATGGCACTGCAACTCAGTGCCCAGGAGCGGCAATCCCACAGGCCACAGGCACATCGATCCCACGGGACGACGTTCCCGACCCCTCCCCACCGGTGCCATCGCCACTCCCGCCCCGCCCAACACGGCCGCCACCGCGGGGCGGGGCCGCACCGCGCGGACCGGCCAATAGGGGCGCGGCCGCCGTAGGGCTCAGCCAATCAGCGTCCGCACCGGCTGCGCAGGGTGCGCGCGGCGGGTAGGCGCGGAGGAGGCGGGGGCGTCCGGGACCTTCCGCCGGTTCCCGGGAGCGGGACCGGGATCTCTGAACTCGCGGAGCCTGAGCTCTGTCCCGCACCTGGCGATGGTTCCGCCGGAGCCCCGGGGCTGTAGCTGCTGATCCGCGCCTGCTTTGCCCCCGGGTTGCTTTTTTCCCTGGCTCTGGCTGCAGCGCGGAGTTCCGCCCGCCCGAAACACTGAGGTCTGGAAAGAATGTTGACGCCTCATCCCTGGCCTGGGAGGGACAATAATACAAATCGAAATTGAATAAAATAACCCAAAATTTGATAAAATAAAATTTAATACAAAAAAATAAATTTTAAAACACGAGAAAATTGAAAATAGCGATAACCAGCCATCATTCCTGGCGGGCGGGCTGTCGGAGCTCACCGCGCACTTCCGAAGCCCCGCGCAGGAACGGCTCCGCGCTCCCGCCATCCCGGCCCCGCTGGCCTGGGCAGAGCCTCTCGGGGCTGCGGGGGGAGCTCCTGCGGGCTGGTAGTTCCCAGGTGGGTCACCGGGGCTCGCCCTCTACGTCCGCACATGGACCGGTGCGCTCCGTGCTGGAGGGAGCGTCCCCGCTACGGACGTCATAGGAATGGGGCCCTAAAAGTCAGTGTGGCAGAATTTCTTCGTGTGTCTCTCCCTGTATTTTGTATTTCGATTTAGCCGCTGCATAGCACTTAAAAACAAAAACAAAAACAAAAAAAAAACCCAACCAAACAAAAAAAAACCAAACAATCAAAAAAAAAAAAAACCAACACAGCAGACAAACCGTATTTTGTTGCTTTTTTTTTCCCTTGACTTTGGTTGTTTGCGGTTTGTTATATTTAGTTCGGTTTCTGGGTTGTTGGTTTTTTGTCTTAACTCAAAGACTGATTATTATATTTGCAAACCACCAATTCATAGAAATTGACTCTCTGGAGTACCTTTTTTTTTTTTTTTGGTAATGGTGGCCCAAATATTACAATATGATGGGATACTTCTATTAAAACTCACAAACTCTACAGACATGGAAATGATTTCCGGATCGCAGTTCTACTATTCTACCCTTTCCACGACCTCATAGCAGACATGATGCATCTCTCCCCGGCAGCATCTCCAGGGTGGGTGCCTTCCTTGGGGAAGGTAATGGATAAATATTGAAATAAAGAACTGGCCAGAAATATTCCAGGTGCCGCTGACGATGCTATAAATGACAACAGGATTTTCGACTCCGCCGACAGATGAACAAGATCCCGCCCTCCGCAGAAGAGACCTTTCCCATTTATTTTCATGATAGAAACTTGCGTCCTGGGATAAAAGGAATCGAGTAAGTGGGTACTTAGTGCACTAGCCCCGAAATGGGAGGGGAGGGGGAAAGAAGCTACAGCTATTGATTCAAGCCTGACGTTTGAATTCCCTCCTCCTATTGCTGTCAAGCACGTTTAATCTTAAGTGAGAAAACGGAGGATCAGCTTTGAATCTGAAATTATTTCAGATACTGAAAGTAATTTGTATTTTGCATTGCGTCACCTACACCCTCGACTGAGATAGGGCTCGGTCCTGAAACCTCACAGTCTTCTAAGTATAGACAACAATCGAAGAGATTTACCATCTGCTTCAGAGTTGTGAGCTAAGCAAAACCAAAAAACGGGGTTCCTTGCTGCCTCTCTGCCTGCCCGAGGGCACACTCCCACGAAAAGCTCCAGATCGGACCTAAGCAGGCAGACCCGCACAGCTGGCGGGTCACAGCTGGCAGGTCGCTGGCGGCAGTCTTGCATCCTTTTGCCTGGTGAGCTGAAGGAGCTTACAGGGGAAACAGATTTTCTGACAGTCTTTTTTTAAAGTTGCACTCGTTTCAGGTTTTTCATAACAACAGTATGAGGAGATTTTTCCCTCAAATGAAAGTAACAACGATCCCTAGGAAGAGTGTTTGCAAAAGGGGCGCGTTTGACCGAATGCAAACAGATAAAGCAGACTAGTAATGTTCAGCCTTTAAAATCTCTGCGCTGGCCCTGTGCAAAACAAAACAAAACAAATTTATTTTCAAAAATAGGGAAGTAGGCATAGGGAAGAATGGATTGAATTAGGGACTTTTGCTGGTTTGCGAGTGAGGAGAAAAATGTTCAGACGAAATATGCAGGGACAAATTCTTTAGAGCTTGACCCAAAGACGCTGTATACAGATGGATCTGGGCTGAGCTTCTGATCGTCAGAAACATTGTGGAGAAACATGAGATGCTGCTGACAGCACTTCAGTGAACAACTAGACAAACAGTAGTTTGTCAGTAACTTTATTTCTTTTTTTAAAAAAATCGCATGACAAACTGGAACCAAGACCAAAATACTGTATCCACTGTACATCGTTCATTAGAAAACAAACATACACCACATTTGTATTCTACCAAACAGAGAGTGTATTTCCTTTAAAATTATATAGTGCGTGCTCTTAGATTCATGCTTTTCAATATTTATTTTACATTTGTTACTCAAATATTATCTGTTATAAATAATTGCAACTTGATCAAATGGTGCACCTGTTATGCGAACCTCTTCAGTGCTGCAAGCGTGGCTTTTTGTTGCCTGTTTTTATCTGTCTTTTCAAAAAGCTGTTGGTATTGCTTTATTATGACCTGAGCAAGCACATCTGAGATGTCAAATAAAGTGTACAGGTGACGCGTGCAGATCTTGGTCTGCTGCTGAGCCCACGGCTCAGACTGCTGGGAACGAGTGACGGGAGAGCGCATAGAAAAAAATCGTTTCAAAAAGGCACAATTTTCTCGACACAAAGATACAATAAAAATATATGGCCACGGAAATGCGGGCGCCTATGGGGATGCAGTGCCTGTCCAGCGGGATTCCGAGCCCGGCAAGGTTTCGCCCTCCCGCCCCTGTCCCGATACCGCGGCTGCAGCGCCAGAGGCGACGCTGCGGAAGGAGCCCGGGGACGCCCGCGCACCCCAGTCCGCCCCGCCGGCAGCGGCTGCCCGATAGCCTGCGCTCCCCCGCGACGCGGCCTCCCGTGGGACCGCCTCGGGAGGCCGGGAGACCAGAATAAGAGGGAGGGGGGGCTGCAGCGCTCCCCTCGCCCCTGCCCCACCGCGGCCGCCTCTCGCATCACTGCTCGCGGTGCCGGCTGCCGCTCTCCGGGTCGCTCTGGTCGTCGGTGAAGCAGACGTCCACGTCGCTCTCGTTGTCAGTCTTTTGCTCCTGCTCGGGTTGCGCGTAGCCAGAGTCACTCTTGTCCTCGGCCGCCTTGCCGAGGCTCTGCCCCGGGTGCCGGGACTTGACGTGCCGCTCCAGGTCGCGGCGTCGCACCAGCACCTTCCCGCAGTACTCGCAGCGGTAGGGTGTGTTGCCCTCGGCGTGCAGGCGGATGTGTTTGTTGAGATTGCTGGGGTCCCCGAAGGGCCGCAGGCAGACCTTGCACTTGAGCGGCTTGTAGCCGGTGTGAGTCCGCATGTGGATCTTCAGCCCGTACTTTCGGGAGTACAGCTTCCCGCAGTAGAGGCACAAGTGCCCGGTCTTGGGCTTCCCTCCAGCCGCCCCCGCTGCCCCCGCCGGCAGCGCCTCCAGCCTCCCGCGGCCCTTCTCGGCCGCCAGCTCGGAGAGCTGCTGCGTGTGCATGGCGATCTCCCGGTCGATGCTGGCCAGCGAACCCAACTCGGCAGCGTGCAGCCCCGCTGCCGGCCCCGCAAAGTACGACACCGACTCGGGGTACTTGAGGAGGCCGCCGAGGTGCAGCTTCAGCGGGTAGTAGGGCGCGGCTCCGTAGAGCAGCTCCCCGTTGTAGACGGTGAGCGGCATCACGGGCAGCCCGCACTCTCCCGCGTACGCCTTCAGCCCCTCGAAGGGCGGCAGCGCGAAGCGCTCCAGCGCTCCGCCGGACAGCGGCGGGTAGCGGGCGGGCGGCAGCGCGGCCGCGGGCAGCCCCCGCTCCACCTGCCGGAAGGCTGAGGCTTCCTCCAGCGGCGACAGCAGCGGGAAGGCGCGCAGCCCACCGCCGCAAGCCAGGCCCGCCGCTGCCGCTGCCGCTGCCTGCGGGGCGGCCTCGCCCGGCAGCGCCCCGCACTTGGGCGGTGCCTCGGCGGCGGCGCGTCCCGCCTTCAGTCCCCCCAGCAGTTTGGAGAAGCCGAGGGCGGCGGCGCCCCGCGCCTCCTCCCGCAGCGACCCGGCGGGGCGGAAGGCCGAGCGTGCCCCGGGGCACAGCGCCAGCCCGTTGCCGCCCGCCGGCCCCAGCAGCGGCCCCGGCCCGCGGGCGGCCCCCACGCTCATGTCCAGGGCGCGCTCCTGCTCCTCCTTGCCCGTCGCCCGCTTGGGCAGCGCCGGTTTGGGGAGCGGTGGGGAGGCGGCGGCAGATTCCCGCTTGACGGCCTCCCGAGGGCCGCAGCTGGGCGGCGGGTGCCCGCGCAGCGAGGCGGCCGGCGGCTCCTTGGGGGGCAGGCCGAAGGTGGTGGCGGCCGGCCGGCCGTGGTCGTGGTGGAGGAAGGGCCGGCCGTGGCTCAGCGCGCAGTGGAAGTGGACGTGGGCCTTGAGGCTGTTGGGGTACTTGAAGGTCCTCCAGCAGTACCAGCAGATGTACCGCTCCTCCCCTGCAAAGGCAAGCGGAGGGACCCGTCAGCGGTGGCCGCGCATCCCCGCGCATCCCCGCGCCCCCTCAGCCTCGTCCCGCCCCCTCCGTGCCGTGCCGGGATGCGGAGCGGTGCAGGCTCACGCGAACGGGGCGCCGTAGGGCCGGGGGGAGCAGCTGCCGCCGCGAGTCCTCTGTCGGGGGGCCCATCTGTTGGCGTTTGCAGAGGAGGTAGCGTATGTCAGGGAGTCGCCTGCACCGAACAAAGGCCAATCTAATGATCGTGAGCCCCTCATTAAGCGGCGAGACAATATCCGATATGTATGGGCCATATGTAATCGTTCCCTTTCAGAGGACAATGCCCTTTGTGCCCCGTCCCCTAAACATTTCGGCTTCTCTGAAGCGGAACAGACCTCGGTAGCTGGGCTGTGATGGCTGCCCGACACCACAGAGGCTTAGGCTCCGCTTTCCCCCTCCTGACCCTGCTTGTCAGGAGAGTCTTCCCAAGGAGGAGCATCTCCCCAGCCCCGATGGTGAAACGCTGCCTCTGTGGCCACCTGTCTGGGAATATTTTTCTTTATTTCGTTATTTCCCTCTCTCTCCCTCACTCTCTCTCTCTTCCTTGCTTCCTTCCTTTCCAACTCGCTCTCTCTCACTTTCCCTTTCCTCTATCCTTTCCCTTACATTTTCCTTCCCTTTCTCCTTCTTCTCTCTCTTCTCTCTTTTCCTTTCTGCTCTCTACATGTATCCATCTTTCCCTCTCTCATTTCTCCCAGTCACCACAATACAACAATAAGCCCATGCATTTCCCCCTGAGCTCTTGCCCACCCTGATCGTCCCCAGCTGATTCTCACCCCACAGTTTAATGCACCGAAACGCCAAAGGTAAGGTCAAGTGCCACACGGAAATGAGAACCTATTCCAGGCCTGAGGCCAGCTCCTCACGTTTCGGGGAACACCGTGGGGAACGATGGGGATAGAGTTGTTTCACTGCGCGCCGCGTCTGTCGGGGCACACAGGGGGCAGCGGGTCACCGAGGTGGACACGATGGCCGCGACCAGCCTCCCTAGAGGGCTTTGGATAGGCATCACTCGGTGGCCGCTGCGGGTGGAAAACGAAATCTTCGCTCTCCGGGGGAAAGTCGGGAGCGAACTCGCGTGGAAGGATCCGGTGCTGTTGCGTGTCTTGCCGCCTGTGTCCTCGCCTCCGTGCGCAGCCCTTCCTCACTTGCCATGGAGAGGCGGTCCCGGAATCTGCAGCGTTGTGAAGTCGTTGGACGCTGTTTTTTCTCCCGTCGAGGAGGGAGGGAGGGAGACGGGACCGTGTCTACCCGGGCCCCGGAGAGGTAGCGGCCGAGGGAGGAGGAACCACGGCTGCAATCCTACTGCCATGCATCGGAAAAAGGGTAAAGGAATGGCACGGATCGAAAAGAATGTGGCCGCGGATCTCCGCGGGCTCCCACCTGCAACCTTTTCTTGCCTTTGCGGGTCTCTCCACGGTCTATCCTCAGGAAAAAAAAAAATCTTCCTCCCTCTTTTTTCGGTTGGTAGAGGTTTTGAGGTTTGGTTTTGCTTTGCGTTTTTTGGGTTTTTTTCAGCGTATTATCTTTAAAAGAAGAGCACTTCAGCATACTGTTACATTTAGTCCGTATTAATTAGTCTGGAAACTGTGGGGCCGGAGACACAGCAGATCCCTAGGGTCAGTCTGCAACTCAGCCTTGCTTCGACGGGACGAGGAAGATGCCACAGGCTGGGAGCCTCTTGCAAACTTGAGTTCTCTTGCCTTTATTTCCTCTGAACAGCACTGGTAGCCATCCGCAGACAGTGACTGCTGCAAAGGGGAAGAGGGGGACACCAACCCAGCAGTGTGTCCTTTCTTGCAGCCGAAATTCTCCTAGCTTTTCGAGAGGGTGACCCGCCGCAGACCCATGGCCTCATTGTCCTTAGGTGTGGGGGGGGACAAAGACGTGCCCAAGAGTTTCTTTTCCTCGTGTAGCTTCAGTACAAGGAGGGATTTGGTCTCTTGTGCATCGCACAAGTCGATGGGACATAGCAGCCAGAGCCCGGCGTTCCGCCAGCCATCCCTTCGTGCCGGACCCTGGTCACCTTGCGGAGCGGCCAGCCGTGACAGGGGGAGGGGGCAGCCCCTGCCCGGGTCGTACCTTCGCTCCCTTCCCGGGGACACTGCCAAGATGAAGGGTCTTCTCCGTCGAGCAAGAGAGGACGGGGTTCCCTCGCCGCCCACCGAGCCCGAGGGGAGCGAATGCCGGTAGCAGGCTGCTACCGCTACAGACGCCCGGGGGAGCGGCCGGACACGGGATCAGCGGGAGGGGGTGCCCGCCGCAGGAAAAGTCCGACAGTTGAACACTGAAGCCTTCCGTCTTCTTTTCCTTCGTTTAATGTGCTGCCAACTTATCATTTTGTTAGCACCCGTGTAATTCCAGCTAAGAATCAGTTTGTGGATTGAAACAGGCCGTCCCAGATGGGTGTCTTCCCCTTCCCAATATCCTGGGATATCCTGATCTGAATGTGATTTGACGCCGGCTTAACTTTTTACCTAATACATCCTAGTTTACAGGGACTGCCTAGTACCCGTTTTGACTTGACTATGTGAATCTACCCTCAAGAGAATCCGAAAAGAGTCTCTGAAACTCTGACTGAGAAGCACGGAAAGCAAACGCGGTTTTTTTAAAAACTATTAAGCCAAATTGCTGTCTCGCGTAACAACCATAGCGATGTTTCACAGAAATCCCATTTGCCTATCAAAGGATCATTAAATCGTGCCGATGACGGAACGACTCGACGGACGGGGGCCTTTCCATACGTTACTGAGTTAATAGATCACCCTTTAAATATAAGCAGATGGAGTCTTATTGTAAAGGGTGTCGGGTTAAAAGTCACTGCAGCTGTACTGGCATTTATTTTTCTGAGAGCCCGCGTTTGCCTGCCGCAGTTTGAGTTCCCGTCAAAGGTGTCAGTTAAAGAGGGTTTGTTCTGTTTCATTTAATTTGGTTGCTCTGAAATGAATGCCCGCATCTGTACCTTTCTCGTCGTGCGTCGGGGTGGCCGTGACGGGGATGTCAAACCACTGCGCCAGGGGGTTGGAGTACCAGACGGTGAGCTCCTCTCCCGGCTGGACATCTCTCAGCGCCCGGTAGAAAATCTGGGAGGGTGAGAAAGGAAACTTCTTCAGGAGGCTTGAGAGGGGAGGCAGGTGACAGAGAGTGGTGCCGGGCCAGCCCGGAGCCGCGAGTGAGATACCTGTCCTCCTGGCAGATCCGCAACAGCCTCCAGTGTCTGCTCTTGGGAGTTTCGGGCAGCCCGAATTAACCCTATCCACTCCAAAGCTGAGCTCCCAGCTTCATCCACTAATTCCCCTCTCACCATCCGCACCTGAAAGACAGGCGGCACAGCAGTCATTTTCACGTCAGATGAAACACAAAGAAAGCAAAAGGCTTACCCGTCTCCCTGCTTGTCTGCCCGCTCTGCCTTGCCTGGCGAGCCCGGTTCCCCGAGCTAGGCAGGGGGCTGAGCATCGCAGCTGGAAGCAGCGGCAAGAGCATCTCCTTTTGCCGCCCGTTTGATGCTTCCATCCCCACCCTTTGGGTAGGATCTTCCTCGGCTCTCAGGTGCCTTAGGAGAGCTGAGGCTGCCCTGGAGGAAGTTGCTGCTCTGAGGGGTAAGGATGGAAAACCCGGGGACCTGCACCATTGCGAGGGGAAATGTTTTTTTTCCCTCGGGTCGCACTAGTTCAAACGCACCTTGTTCAGTCGCAACTTCTGCACTGAGCTTAACGCAATATTAAATGCCCAGTTAAGATAATTTTTTTTAAGAGTTTGTGTAGTCTGAGTCTGTGCAAAGCAATTGCGGCATACAAGACTTGTCAGGAAACGAGGAGGGGAAAAGGGGAGAAGATTCTGCTTAGCTACAAAGTCCCTGTAGCCCCATACTTCATAATCTGCTTGCCCATACAAAGAGAAAATGAAGTGCCCATTCCCTGAACGACCGTGCAATAAAAGTAATCGGAACAAAGCAGTCTAAAGCGAGAAACCAAGGGAGCCAGATGAGAAATAAATTTGAGTGGGCTGGCAGAGCGTTTAAAAACAATTAAAGGGCATTAAAAATCAGAGCGGAACGCGTGAGCCGCTGCTGCCCGGGGGGTGGAAGGAGGGGTCTCATCCGCAGCCCCCTGAAGAGCCTGATGGACGGGGCGAGAGCCCTTCACCGCCTCTTCCTCGATCCTTCTCAGCTCGGACATGGACTGACCCCGAAGCCGGTAGCCGGCTGTCCGTCATCCTTCCCGCTCCGGCTGTGCGTGTTATTTGCAGCTCCGGGAGCAGGAGACGGTCTGAGGCTTTGGCAGGAGGTCGAGCTGCCCTGAGATCTGTGACCCGCACCCCGTCTCCGCCTCCGGAGTAGCCCCCGCTCGCTTCCCTCAAGCTCCCTTCCGGCCCAAGCCAAAGGACAATCGGCCGAGGAGAGGGATGGGAGGCACGAACCCGAGCCAAACGCAGAAATAAATTGGTGCATCTGCTCCTTTCCCGGACAAAACATGGGGACTGTGAAAGCCACATGCCCCCGTCTCGACGGAGCTCCAGGGTCGAGGAGCCGGCCGTAGCACGTCCTCGCCCTACTGGGCAATGCCCCAATGAGTGGAGCCCCGGGGGGCGGGGGCCGGCCGGCGGGACTAGGGCCCTCCGACACCGGGCACGGGGCTCAGACGACGCTTCCAGCACGTCTATGTCCAAGGCGGGGGCGGGCGCGTCCGCTCCTCCGGGAGAGCTCCCGTATCCCCCGGCCTCGCCGCGGAGGCCGGCCGCGCTGGGGACCCCGGCGCTGAGGAGGAGAGGGAGAGGGCACGGGCGGGCAGGCTTTCCTGGCAGAGCCACGGGGAGACATCTCAGGACGCTCTGGAAACGCTTCCCTTTCCTTTCCTGGCTCACTCTAAGAAGGGAAGATCGAAGAGAAACGGGAGAAGAGCAGCCTCTTCTCCCAAAGCCGACTTCCCCCGAGCCAATGAATAATCAAGGTCCAGCAGTGCAGGAGAGACCATAGGAAAATACCTTTTTTTTGGGTCCTGGCTCCTTGCGATCTGACAGGTACTTGCCCAGTTTGAAGGTGCCCGGCACAGGACCCAAGCGCAGCCCAGCCGGGATGCAGCTCTCCGCGCTGACGCTGATGGCCGGAGCCCTGCTGGTTTGCATCGCTGCCGCTGGGTGTGAGCGCTCGGGAACCCCAACTACTTAAGGGTGCCGGAGTGACAGCGGCAGGCGGCGGGAGGATGAGCACAGGCGTATCTCCGCCCGCAGAGTGACGCGGCGGTGTGTGGACGCTGGCTTTTCAACGGGAGCAGGAGGGGTACCCCTTGGCAGGGGGATGCTCTGGGGCGCAGAGTTTGGTGAGAGAGTTTGGCTCCTCGAGCAGCTGCGGAGTCCCATCCAAGAGGGTCACATGGAGCCTTTCCCTAACCCTCCTGCATAATCAGGCGGAGTGAATGGCTGGCAGACAATGGGCCAGGCGACCTTCCCATTCCTAAAAATCCAATTTGTCAAGGGCAAAGAAAAGGCGCTGGTGAATCAAAGGTCTGGAGGGACCATTAATCCTCAGCATGGGGTATTGTCCCCGAGACAGTTACGATATTTTAAGTGACAAATCCACTGTATAATTTCTCCATAAATTTTACTTCCTTTTATTGTTCCTCGACAAACCAGTTTTGGAAAATAAGTGACTATTTTAAGTCTACTTGGCTGAGCCTTTTGAGGCTTAATATACTTCAAAGATTTTTAATTCTCTTCCCTTTGCTTTATTGTAAAGGAGATTAAACAAAGAGATGGGGAATGTTTTGAGGACTTGTTAACTTCTATTGATTCCCGGCGTGTGCCATACAGAATTTGGGCAGGTACTTGATGGGAAAACACCAGAAAATACCTACACTTTTTTTAAAAGAACTACCATATTACCATTTCAGTGGTTTGGTTTCAGGCCAGTAATCTGTTCAGAAGAGCTTTGATCCTTAAGGAGGATGAATAGCACAAAATATGAGACGCCGTAACCCTTGTAAACCAGAAACCGCTGCACCTGCGAGTGCTGGGGAAGTTGTGCCTGTAGTTCGTGCGATTAAGAAATAGAGACAGGAGGAAATAGAGACATACAGCCACCAGGAAACAGGAAGGTATGGATAGCAGAAAACACAGATGTCTAGCAAACAGCGTGCAGCTGGATTCCTCGTTTAATACATCCGCAGCTTCCTTACCCAAAATTTCTTGCACTGAGACCTCTTTTGGAGGTGGAACCTGCAAAAAGCGACTTTAAATAAAGCCAGAACGAAGCTTTTTGGACAGTGTCCCCCTATGTCCCTCCTCTTCGCATGAATATTTTAATTAAGATACAACGAAGCGCTAGGATTAAGTCAGCTGGATAAATGTCCCAAAAATTTTAAGGAGCTGAAAAGGAAAGGTGTGCGACTTTTTTCTTACGTGGGTGCAACAGTTCAGATATACCTGTCAGACCAAGGAGTACAGTAGCAAATTCATTCTTCCACTTTCTCTTTTATACTCCTGTCTAATTCCTGCTAGCAGGTTTTCTTAGCTCCATATCTCATAACACTCTAAAAAGGAAGATTTCTGAACCTTTCTCCTGTGGAGAAGTTGCAAAGTTACAGATTTTAAGGTTTAGGGTTTAGAAACACTTGCAGATATGGAGCTTTTTTCCCCCTTTTTTTTTTTCTTTTCCTTTTCCTTTTTTTTTTTCCCTGTGACGTTTTTCTAATAGTCAGCCCTAATAAATTTCAACAGAAAAGCCAAAAAGCTACATTTAGAGTGCATCTGACGACACACGCCAGGTAACTGAGCAGGGTCTTTTCAAGTAAACCCGCTTTTTGTGCAAGATGAACCTTGGCACGCCGCTTTCGATGTCATCGAGTGCGTGGGCTCTACTCTGGATTTGTTTGCTGCCGTCACGAGTGGCACCGTGGGAGCAAAGGCCGTGGGGATGCACAGGGAGGATGGGGACGATTTTGAACCGGCACCTCTCACCGACTGGCGCTCGCAAAGATCTTCTTTCCCCTCTCACTGCCCTGCACCGCACCGGGAAGCACTTAAAGCTCAGCCTGGCGAGTCATCGCCGCTGCTGCGATGACATTTGCCCACACCGGCCGCCGTTCGTTCCGACCCCTCCGCGGCAAAGCGCTGCCAGCCCGCCTGGGTCACTAGCGCCGCTCCCCCGGCCAGGGAGAGCCCTGAGATGGCAGCGCCTCTGCGGAGAGCGGCGGGAGCGCAGGGCTCCCGTACTTCCCGTCCCGTCCGGGGCGCTGCCCGTGTGCGCTGGGCGGGGAGTGAGAGGCTCCCCCGACCGGGAGGCACCGGGAAGGTACGAGGACAGGACGGGGTGCTGCCGCCGCCTGCTCCGGGGGCTGCTGATCGGCACGGAGTCCGCGCAGGCTGGGAATGTATTTTTAGTAATGATCCATATTGGCGTGCACGCGAGATAAATGTCGCTTCTGCCCCCCCCCTCCGCCCCATTCCCCAGCAGCATCAGTGGCCATCGGCCGCATCTCTCCGGGGTGCAACGTCAGGGACCGTCCCGGGAGCGGGAGTGGGTTCGTTTTCACTTCGGCAGGAATGGGAAGAGGAGGGGGGAGAGGATGTGGGGAACTGAAGATGACCTCTTTGATCAACGGCCTGAATGGGGGAAAAAGGATAAGCAAGAAGTTGAGGGCAATAAATTTAAGCCATGAACATGTCCCTGTAACCTCTGGCCTGGTCACTAAAGGATGAGACCGGCTTGAAATTCCGAGAGCCGCAGAGGTAGAGAGAGGGCTTTTAAGGCGATCAAGGTACCCTACTGCTCCGCCTCGGGAGCCGCTCCCTCCCAGGCCTTAATGAGTCAAAAAGCGTGAACGACACGCGAACAATTTTATCAATAGGACCATGTAAAGACCGACTGTGAGGAAAGTTATTTATTAATATAGCCGATTGTGGCTGGTTCCCATCCACTCAGAAAAGAAAAGCCCTTGCTCTGGAAGCATTCACACCAGTTCTCCAATTTTTATTCTGTCCTGTGGCTCAAAGTTGAAGTTCCCCAAGTGAAATAAATTGTCCACAAAAGAGGAAAGGAACCACATTTTCTTTTATTTTTCCTTCCCTAAAAAGGAAGGGTGAAACCGATCTAATGTGCCCACTGGAGCAAGATGCAGCGTGAAAGGCCGGGTGTTAAAAGTAAAAGCAGCCTTTGGAGCAAATGGGATGGAAAATTAAATGAAATTAAATAGCTTGAACGACCGTATTGTCCCTTATTAAAAAGACACATTAATTACATGGTTTCAGCTTTATTCAAAGACAATGTTTAGACTCAATCAAAACATTCCACTATCGCTCTTTATATACTTAAACCGGACTACTAGAGGCACCATTAAAGAGAGATCACTTTTGCCCAGAGATGCGATGAAAGTTATTTTCCTCGGCGGCCCTTATTTATGCCCACCGCTGAACTGCCGGTGCCCCTGAGTAACACTTTGGCACACTGTTCTCCCTGATTTAACAGGTTGCCCCATAATGAGGCATGAATGTTAAGGAACAACAGTCATCCAAAGAGGCACAGTTGCAGAGAGCAATGTCCCACCAGGGAGCTCCATTCAAACCATCAAACCGCTCCGGCACAGAGAAGGTTCAACACCACATTCAGACCAGCATGAATGCCTGTATACAGGGCTCGGCTCATTATGCCGCAGAGCACCGCAGCGGAGGCTGAAACAAAATGCTGCAAGTTCATTCAGCAGGCCATACTCCGGCGGGGCGGCCCAGCCGGCGGCTCCCGGGGTGACCTTTTTCCCAAATGGCTTTGCCCCGACAGGGCTGCCCTTCCCCGGGCTGCAGGACGGGATGGCCGGGGACTCCCGTCCCTGCCGGAGACGGCCCTGAGGCTCCCGTCCCTGTTCGAGCCGGCCCCAGGGCTCCGCGGCAAGGAGATGGAGATGCAAGGCACCGGGCGGAGATCGGCGGAGAGGCTTACTGAGACCCTATAACATGGAAATCCACTTTAAATCGAAGAGACCAGTACGGTCTGAGCGTCTTTTCTCTTACTTTTCTCTTTTCACCTCTCTCTTTTCCTTTCTTTTCTTTCCTTCTTTCCCCTTTCCCCCCTTTCCCCTTTCCCCCCTT